TATATATATATACATATAAAACAACACAATAACGTGAAAATGACGTTAAATTATGATTGAAATATAAATTTTAGATCATACATACATTTTGGAATCATTTTGATGTCATTTTAATATCATCACGATTTATGTTTTGCTTAAGTAATTACAATTAAATCTATATAAATCTATATAAATCTATATAAATTTCCATAAAATGCTTCAAATAATAGAAATTATCATTATTATCAGTATTATTTCATTCTCATAATATTGACATAAGAAATTAATTTGATTCGTAAAGGATAAAAGATTGCATAGCAATATAAGATGATACAACATTTTACCTGTTTATCGGTGAAACCTCTTCCAAGGAGGTTCGCATCCAAGGAAGCTGTCCTCGCGAATTGCGTGTTAGGTAATTCTGTAGCAGAGACGGACCCTCTATTTTGTTTTTCTTCTTTTGTAAACACCTGTTCTTTCCGTGATGCGGAAGACCTTCTGTAGGTGGTGAGAAAACCCGAAGATAGTAATAGCGTGCAGAAAATCGCAGCTGTCATACTGGTGAGCAGGACGAACGCGAGCCGCGATAACTTGCGCATAATGCTCGCCGCCGTTCATTCTATCCTGAGTGTGCGTTAAGCAACTACTGACCGAGACAAATTGAATTCTTAGGTCTTATTTGCGCGACCGATGATGTCTTTTTTTGCGGTATTTTTGCGAAGATATGGTGCGAAACTGAATAGGACGAAGACACTTGGTGATCTGTTGCATATATGATGATAACTTTACTTAACTACCTAGTCCCTGTATTCTATTGCAGTAACTCATTATGCAGTCGTTATGTGTTTATAACAGTTGCGCAGCTGTTTTACTTTTAGATAAAATGCAACTATGTCACACGCATATAACGATTGCATAATGAGTTATAGAATTCCACTACTAATGAAAATAGAAATTGGTGCGTAAGTCGAATGAGGTAAATGTACTAGTTATAACAAACAATTAATAGACATAACTCATTTAGTGGACAAAATGACAAAAATTTTAAATATTAAGCTTTTAATGATATGTAAGTACGCCTCTAAATAAATTTGTTGTTTATAAAAATTTGATAAGATAAATTTATTTAGAGCCGTATATATTAGTAAAAAATATTTAAAATTTTTGTTATTTTGAATAATAATTGGATCATATATCTATTAACTGGTATATTATCTTAAGAGGAGAGTAACAGAAGTGTAAACACCTATGTTTCCCAAGCAGAACAACAAATTATTATGATATCAAAATGATGTCAAAATAATCATTAAAAGTCATTTTTCAATCATTTCCGATTCATTTTAACTGTTCCGCTTGAGTTACGTTTCGTTGTCTCAATTTTCGCCTCGAAACTTCGTTTACGCTTCAGTTACTCTCTCCCCTCATATTTATATAATTTACACTCCAATTTTCTCTTTCTTATTTTCGTCAAAGTGAATTTTTAAATGTCATAAACAGTTAGTACATTCAGAAAATAGGGAAGAAATATGAAACTGATTATTTCTATTTTTATTGAGAAAAAGAAATTAAAGAAGAAATTAATATGACCGTTTTTTTAGATCAAGTTAGATACTATTAATATTCATGTTTTTTTTCCAGCAGAAAGAAATGATTTCTCTTTTCTTAACTTTTTCTTTAATATTTTAAAATCCCTGTCTTAATAATAATTTATCGCTATCTTTCATAAAACGCGAAGTTACAATTTATAAATTTAATTAAGGATTCTTTAAAAAATCACATATCTGTGTGACATTTACAAAATTTTATCCCAACGTGGCCAGCATAGAAATTAACTCCTTCAGCGTCTCGTCTCATTAACTTTTCACAATGAATCGCATGTAAACACCACCGTTAAATTCATTTAACGACAAATAATGAAATAACAGCTGCGCGAAACAGTGTGCAGTGAAATAAAACACTTATTAATTACGAAAACCGATCCATGCCACAATAGTCACAATCTTCTATCAATCTGGGACACGATAGAGGACAAACCACTTTATGCTGTATCGGCGAGGAGCGAAATGACGCGAAGCGCGCGAATGATAGAAAGCATAAGGAAAGTCGCGGGTGCACGACTCCCGGTGCAACAAGGATACACGCTGGCGCACGACTGACCGTTGATCCCGATTGTCTTGGTTAACCAAGCATAACCACCGTCCTCCAACATCTCTCAAACGTCATTCACCGTCACCCTGGCTTACCGGTGGTTACCGTAGTATCAGCTAGTAGAAACAAGTAAACTCAAGTCTGTGTGCGCCGCTTATCAGTCAGATAAAACAATCGAGCTGATCGAATGTGTGTTTCGTGACAACCTGGAAGCTGTTTGACAATCAGAAAGCTGGATTAAAGTATAAAAAAAGAACGTATTTTGGATCCGAATTTGAATCCGATTAAATAATTTTATATAAAAATTCTTATTTCTAATAGATGTATTATTTAATCACTCTGGGAATAAATATGTTAAGTTGGCAAATTATCTTCTTTCCCTTTTTGCTCGAATTTTGGATAATTTTTCAAATTTAATTGCTTTCTTCTCCTTTTTAGATTCTATTTTTGGTTTTCTAAACATACTGTTAATTGTTTTCATCGATCACCAAGTTTTATTATATATGGGAATGCAGAATAGAAGAAAAAATTATTGGAATTGATATCTTTAATTATTCAACTTTCTTGATTCAGGAGCCCACACATCTAAGAATTAATTATTTTTCGTTCGTAATATCCTTGTTCACTCAATTGAATCTGTATTACTATATCATAATATTACGATTTATGTGTTCATTTCATCGCGCGGCATTGAGTGTTTATAATTATATTATTGTGATTATAAAATTGTATATCAATTGAACAACATGTAGTACGTGTACGATTAATTTCAACTTGCGTTATTAATATTATTAATTATATGTTGATTTTATGGAAGCGGTACAGATGATTCCATTGTTTTGATATTTATAAAATTTAAATTTAATTATTTTATTTTATTAATTAAATTTATTAATTTATCAGTATTTATATACTTTTATTTTATATATATCATTTTTTTAAATCTTGAACTTATTTTTGTTGTTGAACTTTATTAATCAATATATCAATTGCTTTCTAATATAATTCTTTATGGAGTAAATATATAATTTAAATATTCAATTGATCATACACTTTTATGATATTATATTCTTATAATTAATTTTACATAAAATTTTGCATTTTTTTTTGTTTGTATTTTTGCTAATTAAAGAAGTATTAATTTTAATGAATATTAGATTACAAAAATACAAAAAATTGTATAAATTTAAGACAACATTTTAAATCTATAAAAACTTTTGCATTGTTATTATTTTACAAGTAAAATTATAAAATGTGAATATTATACTTACATTATATTTTATATTTTTTGCAGATGAAAATAATAATAATAATAATTTAGGTTAATATTTCAATTGTACATACAATAAATTCGTCAAGCATATTGATTCGCTACAAAATAATTGTTTATCTAGCCTAGCAACAATTCCAAATAATACGACAGATCTCTGATCGGTAATACAGAATTCTGTAATCTAACATGGTAGATCATCGAAGATCATCAGAAATCGGAGTAGCCCACGCTGGAATTCACATTTGTAAACAGCGTAATTATGTTTTCCAAATATTTTTGGCTATCGCTGCTATTGGCGATCGTGTATTTCTTATATTCGCGCGGTTTTTATGAGAAGATCAAGTTTCAATTAATGGAAGAAACATTAAATTTAGCTGACACGATATATTTTGGATTAAATGAAAACTCTGGCGGGTCAAAGATGTTCACTATAAGCGAATTAGAACGATATACAAATCTGGAGAATGGTTTATATCTTTCGATCTTAGGTCAAGTCTTCGATGTAACAAAAGGAGAAAAACATTACGGATCAGGAAGAAGTTATCATGCTTTCACTGGTAATTAGGTTCCTTATGTCAAATTCAAATGTCTACTATATACATATATGTATATAATAAAATTAATTTTATTTATTTGTAGGTCGTGATGCTTCTTTGGCATTTATCACTGGAGAATTTGATGATCAAGGTTTAACGGACGATATATCTAGTTTATCGATGCAACAAGTGAAAGCATTGAACGATTGGGTACAATTTTATAAAACAAACTATATTTACAAAGGTACAATTATTTAAACTGCCATGGGATATAGGAGCAGTTGATCCATCTCAGAATAATTTCTTTATCCTAAATAATTTCTTTTGTAAAAGCCAAAATAATTTTATAATATTTTATCAATCTGCTCGCAGCAAGGAAAGAAAGGTATATTTTAATCTCTTTTTACTGCAAAAAATGTTTTATGTTCTGTAGACATTGCATGAGGTGGATCAACTCGCATGATACTTTCTAAAATATTTTGTATTTTCTTTAGGAAAATTATATGGTAGATACTATAATCAAGATGGTAGCCCAACTATAGAATTTTATAAAATACAAGAAAAGTTATTACTTCTTCAAAAGGAGAAAGCATTAGAAGAGGCACAAAACAGAATGTTCCCACCTTGTAACGTAGAATGGAATCTAGATATTGGTACTGTATTCTGGTGTACTGAAAGAAGGTAGGAAATTATTTAATAGTCAATGTTTTCATATTAAAGAAAAATTAAAAAACATGATAAATAAATCTTTTAATATGTAATTATATGATTCATTTTTGTTTAACAGCGGTGGAATTGATAGAGATTGGGTGGGAGTACCAAGAATGTTTTTCGAGACCGCACAAGGTTCATCCAGATGCACTTGTGTTAAATTAGATAGTAAGGAATATGAAGAAAATAAAGCTAGATTTAAAGAATACGATGGCTGTGATAAGTATGCGACGAAATGCACTTTGAGAATGAATAAGACATAAAGTGAAGTATTATATAGTGTTTTTATCTATCGAATTTAAGATATATTAAATTTTATATTTATATAATATTAATGCGAAAATACAGATTTAATATATTAACTAGATTTAATATATTAATTTTATATAATTTTTCATATTTTTTGTATAATTCTATATTCAATACGATTAGCGCTTTTTATAAGAATATAAATAAATACAAGATTTTATATAACATTTACTAATACTCTAGATAAGAAATACACAATCGTCAATATACTGATCTTAAAATAAATGCAATTTCAAAGTCTCATTATATATACGATAATTATGTGATATACATAATGAAACATAATATTTAAAAAATTGAATTTCGTCTCTAAAACAATGAGGTTTTGTCCTTAAATTTTTAAATGATCAGTCTTTGTTTCTATTTTTAATATTGAAAAAACTGGTGATTAAAAAAATTGTTTATATTATACTTCACAGAAGTTGTTTATATTACAAAATACATAGAATTTAATATATTTATGAAAAAATGTATATTTCCATTATTATTTAATAATACATGTATGTATATAAGTTTTGAATTGAATCTAAACTAAAATGCAACATGATACGAACAATGTCGAAGATTTTGATCTCCTCATTAGCTTGAATTACGATTTCAGAAACAACAAAACATATTAATTTAGGTGTCAAAATGAATTATTTTTTTTTATCATAATTCAATGTAGGCGCAATGAGGAAGTAGCCTTAAAGAAATAAAAAAATACATTATTATTTCTTATATGATGTATATTGCTGTTAATATAAGCGAGATAAATCTCAAATATGCAAATAGAAATATAATTATCACACATTATGGTCCTTACATTCTTATAGTTCGAAACATGTAAATCTACAATGCGAAAATCGAATAAATGCACAGAAAATTCTATGTATAACATTCTTAGATGGAAATGTAAATTTCTCCATCTAAATATTATCCCTTAAATGTGATTATAAAATAAGTCTGATACATTTTTTAAATGAAATCCTGAAGTACATAACATGTTATTCTTCAGATAACTTCTTTAAAAAAATGGCATTTAAATATGTCATCGAAGAATCTGGTATCATTTGAGTTCGCTGTCAATTTTCATTGGTGAATTTTCTCTGATGGTATTTAATTTATCTATAAGAGCCTGCATCGAATCACATCTCTTGTACCTGACTTTAGATCCAAAAACTCTTTGTATCTTTGCACGTCTCTTCTTCAACTTGGAAGCTGTAGGAGCAAACATCAACATTCTCTTAAATCTCTTCGCACTCATACGTATTGTAGTATCGTCGTCCGAATTCTGGGTTTCTTCAAATATTGTTTCAAGATTATTTGATTTCTTATTTATTTTTTTGTCTAAATAATATTCCTTGACAATTTCTTCCTCTGTCTCTTCCACCTCATAGATCCTTCTTTTTTTTGGTCTCAAGCTGCATCTGATTTATATACAAAGTATTATTAGACATATGAAAATATATCACAGTCTAATATAAAATTATCTTCAAAGAAGTGCTAAGCAATTTACAAATTATATGTCTCTCTATGCCTTGATTGACATTATTAAATGTTTTGTTTCATGAACGTTGTAATTTATTTCATCGAGATGAGAACTTGAAGGTCGATTATTTATTTTGAAACAAGGTGAAAATTACAAAGATGAGTAAATTTATTAAATGATTAATTAATGAAATTATAAATATTATAGTAAGTTCGTTTCAAGATACGTAATCGATCCTCAGATACATGGCAAAGTATCAGTCATCCTGATGAAGTGAACTGCAATGTTTACAAAACATTGGCATTTAATGATATATCACAGAAATAATTTCTTTAAAGAAAATATTCATGGAAGCTTCAAATATTACCTTCGTTTAACCATTTCTATAGAATCGTTTTCTATAGAAGAAGGCTTAGACAACCTTTTCCTAAGAATTCTCTTGGTTTCTGTAGGTGGAGGATTAATATTTATAGTAAGCATCTCTAAATCAGCTGTTATCACAGGTACATTAGTATTGTCTAAATGATCTTTGGAGATTCTGAAAAATCGAGCTGCTCTTAATTCTTCTTAGCAAAATAATTTTTATTCTTTTCAAGATTTAATATATTTCAATATTTGCAAGTAGATTAAAACGGTGATAATTGTTATAAACCAAATAATTATTATAACCTAAGAAAACCAAAAGAGAAGAACAGAATCGTAAAAATATTTATATGGGATCTTTAAGTGATGGAGTCTTCTTTGAAACTTACGGATTTTCTGTTTGTTTCTCATCCATTGCTCCAGAAAGTTTGTAAAATTCTTATCAAAGAATGTCAAATTTTTCGATGTCTTTGTGTGAACTTCCTTCATTTATCGGAAATACATACGTCTTCCATTTTCGAGTGGAATATACAATAAAAAGTATCAAAGACGAGATTAACGTCCGTAAAACTTGTAGAAAATAGAGATAGAACGTATTCTTTCACATGAAAAAGTACTCTTTCACACGAAATGCATATAGACTGCTAAAAGAAGAACATTGTCTTGAAGCGATTAAATGGCACTTATTTTATTGTTGTAAACTTACTTCACTTGAGAAAGGAAGAAATGCTAAGTCTGTTCTTTTCAAGCTGAAAATTGATCTCTTGTAATTCTTATCTTTTTCAGTTTTTTTTTTTCCCTCTCATGCTTGTAGGTAATTCTATCACTTCTTTCGAGTGCAGAAAGTGTAATTGCCAAGAACAGATCATTTGATCTGTTCGACTTGCTTACACTTTTTTATACTTTTTATACTTAAAATGAGATATATATTTGGCGCTGAAAAGAGAGAAAGCGAAGATGCTAAGTGTAAAGAGTGTAAGCAAATTGAACAGACCTATTGACATGAATCATGGTAGAAAGAGACAAGGTGAGCCATTATTCTGCTGGCAGAGGGAGCGGGGGGGGGGAACATGACTTGTCAACCAATCACAGGAGGTCTATTTTAAACGCGCAGATTTCAGATGATTATTAATAAGATGATTACTAATAAGATGATTACTAATAAAAACACAGATTGAAAATTAAAATAACAATGATTTATTAATAAAAACTGTTAAAATGTAAAATATAAAAATATTACAAACTTTAACATTATTATTAAACAGAAATGAGATTGCACATTTTTTTGTTTTTGATACGAATGTGTCAAAAAATTGCAAAGAGCAACGAACACAATCATTATTGAATTTTCATAAAATGGGTGCCTCATGATTGGCTGTTCATTCCCCACTTTTAAGCTACGCGCATTCATAGGAATGGCTCATCTGAGGCCTGTTCTTTTTATCTGAACTTCTTGTTCATCTTTTCTCTTTTTCTTTTCAACGTGGAAAGAAAAAGAAGAAAGATGAATCATGCAAGAAGTTCAGCTAAAAAGAACAGAATCTCTTGTTTTTTAACATCTTGAATCACATCAATCACATGGTGGTTATCAGTTCTTGTTATCAGTTCTTCTTTGACTACATTTTTCTCCGTATCGATAATGAGATTTCATCAGCGGCCTACCTTGCCGATCGTATCGTAGTAGAATTGTAGGTTATGTCAGAACGCAGACGGAGAGCTGGTCGCGCGATTTGTTTGTCGCGCAGCCCTGAAAAAGTATGGCGATGTGGGAGAGCGACAAGTTTCAAGAGGATGAGAATGCGGACGGTATCGAGAGCAATTTCGATAATATCTTAGTAACACACGATCTGCAGGATTGCCTGGACGATACCTTGGATCTGTCCAGTTTCGAAAAGGTCTACGAGCAAAGCGCAGTATTCGATTATGAAAGGTACTCTGATGACGATGCTGCTATCAATGAGGAGCTACCTGTCGATGACAACACAGCCGAGTGAGTCCCGATTGATTTTGAACAAATTTCTAAGCTATTACCATCTTTTGCGCTCTTTTATCTCACGATCCTCACATTCGTTCCTTACATCGCTGGGATCGATTTTGCAATCGGATAGCTATAAGTTTATTCGTATCATCGATATTTCATTTCCACCCTCGACGGTATTCTTTGTCCCCTCCTTATAAGGCTATACGAGTTTTGAAACGATAATTTTAATTCATAAATCGCTCGAGGGGAGAATCTGCGTTGGGACAGCACATAGATATACCGAGATGGTTATGTTGCCGATGTATTTTATCGTCAATGTGTGTTTCCGAATGTTTTAAATTTTGGCTACTGTATAATAATTTCAAAATAAAACATATTACATATATATTATTACAAATTTGATAACAATAATATAAAATGCAATATGTTTTATTTTATTTGTTGACAATTTGTAGTCTTAGAATAGGCAATAAACTACGAATAATTATGTATTTATTATTTTTTTTATTTTATGATTATTGTACTTTTATTATAAAAATTATTTGTAAGAATATTATTTGTATATATATATTATAATATTATTTACAATTTGACACAATTGCATTTTCTTATTGCATTGAAATCATATGCTATATTTGTTACAAATTTAATTTTGATATCTATGTATAGCAAACATACTCATACTATTCTATTACATATACTTAACCTACTAGCAAAATATATAGTAAAAAATTGGCACATGCAGATATTTGTTATTTTGTATATCAATGAGATTGTAAAGTCAGAAAATAATAATGTCAATATAATTATTCTCATGAATTTGAATTTTTATATTTAGCACGAGAAATATTATTTAAATAATGTTAAAATCTAATAAAAATCTGATAAACATAAAAAATGTTCATATATACGTACGCACGCGCGCGCGCGCGCACTCACACACACACACACACACACACACACGCGCGCGCGCGCGCGCGCGCACACACACACACACACACACACACACACACACACAGGGTGACCATCAAATATTTCGTATGCTGGTAGAGCAGACTAAACTGAGTCGAAATGTCCTCTACCATTTTACAATTTTTACAATAGTTAACAAAATATTAATTACTAAATATCGCTGAATA